GTAGGACACTGACCTGTTTTCAAGCACTGTAAAAACTGGGACTTAACACTCAACTCAAAACTCAAGCTTCTCACACCGAACACGGGTACAACAGCAAGACACAACGTCATTACAACGTCACAACTGTCTGGTTTCCTCTATAACACTAATGAGCAAGCGGGAAGGAGAGAGAGAGTACCCTGATTAGTCTGGCAGCATCAGTGTCAGACACTCAGCGGGGCGTCCACAGCTCAGTGTGTTTTTCTGTGTCTGTGTGTAATGTGTATATTCAAGCATTGGTACGGCTGCCAGTCCTTGCTTTCTCTGTTGGTTTGTTTTTTTTTTGTTGTTTTTTTTCATGCCATCCCTCTATTTCTCACTTTCTTCATCTTTTCTCTCGTTCTCTAAGCTCCAAAAACTCTGATCCCTGCATTCGCTCAGTCTGGCAAATGACTGCAGGGGCTGACAATCCACTGTCAGCACGCGCCGCCACAGTCAATAACGCTGTCCCATGTCACCGCACTACACTGGCTAAAGCTCACATTTCTTATCCCTCCCAAAAAGTGCTGCTTAACAGCGCTTCTCTGCCTTTGCCAATCCTGCTAAACGCATCGCCATATCCCCCTAATATGCCCCTTCCAAAACCCCACCCTGACAAACCCCACCCTGACACGTTTTTGGTTCTCCAAATGACCAGAACATCCTTGGGTGAAGCGAATTCTGCATATTTTAAGGCCAAGAGTAGCACCCAGTGAAATTTGGGACCAAATGTGATGTGCTTTTCACGATGCCCCTGAATTCTAAGCAAGTGATGGGTGACTGATCTAGCTGTCTGTCTGTAACAAGACGGGGTCATGTAGGCTATACTCAAATACACACAGGAATTGCATACACGCATATACACACATGCATGCATGGGGTGCAGTGGAGCTCAGACAAGTGTTACCAAGAAATTGTAGTCTCCACGATAATCCACTTCTCCTCTATCGTGTTCCATTAACCTCACAGCTTACACACACACACTCCTTGTCTCAGCCCACATGGACTTACACACACACACACACACACACACTCACACACACACACACACACACACACACACACGCACACATGCACGCATGTCTGTCAGTGTCAGGGCCTGTGTCGTCCAGATCCATTGTATCTGCATGAGGCTGAGATAATGGCATCTGTCGCTGCTCCTTTTGTCAGCGCTGTCCCTGGCCCCTGCTCACTGCTGGTCCCCATTAGCTGGCTGCTGGCCCGCTGGCCCCTCCACTCCACGCTCTGCTGCCTGAGCGAGAAAATACAGGAGAAGCCTGTCCCCTCTTCTAACTCCCTCTTTCGTTATCCTTCTCCCCCTCTCCTGTCTTTACCCAGCTCCTCCCACTGCTGCGGATTAAAGGTAGTTAGTTTGGTAAACTGGAGAGGTGCAAACCTAAAAAGGAGAACATCTAATGTCAGATGCTGGTTTGATAATAGATTATCAATAGCAACAGAAGCCTGCTGTACTGTTTCTGGTACTGTATGAGCTATACGGTAAAATGTAGGTAGATTTTTTTGAAAACTAGGTTTTCTTAGGGTAAATAAATTGTTTTGATACCATAATATGTCTTGAAATTACCCACCCTTTTTTTCCTCTAGCATTTACCAACAAGTATTTAAAGTGTGCATCACAGATCAATCAACCAATATAGATTATTTTCATTTTCAACTGATGTGCCCATAATTCTTTCCAATTAATTATTTGGCGTATTATATGTCAGAAGATAGTCAAGTGAAATCACAGTTTATTAAAGCCCAAGATAATATCCAAACAACACTGCATAAGATTTTACATTTATTATCATGTTTAACAAAGACAAGCAGCAAATTCTCCTAACTGAGATGATGGAACGAAGGAGTTTTAAGTATTTTTGCTTTAAACTTGCTTTAAGTCATTAAGGTGATTCATTGATTATCAGAATAGTTGACAATTACTTTCCTGCCCATCAGCTTGATTAGACAAAAAAAAAGCATTTAGTTTAAGTAAAAAGCAAAATGGAGAAGGTTCATAAGAAGATGTGTCACAGAAATAACTCAAAAATCCATCAAAAAACATCAAAAACACAGAGGTTTGTCAGATAATACCTCATTATTTATGTAAGACTGACCAAGCTAAATTTGAATATCTATAGAATATCTACTTTTATTCAATTTCCACAACCCATACCTTCACCCTCAGGCACATCCCTGGGTATTTGTGTACCAAGGTTTTATTTTTTTTTTAAAGTTATTTTGTGGATCTCTTGCAACAGACTCACGATTTGTTTTATCATTGCATTTTGTCACTTTATGACTTACTGGGAACTTCATAACTTTTCAGACGTATGCTGTTGAGAGCTGTTGTGTTTGCAGAGCGTGGCACAGTAATGTCAGACAATCTCTAAACTGCCCATCTCAGCACCAACTCCCCTTGTCTATGCTGCATAATTGCACTCACTGGAGCTGCATTGCCTTACAATATAACAAATGAAGTCTGTATTACATTTGTCACCTATCCGAGACGTCTCACTTAGTCACATCATTTTCCCCTCGTCTCTCATAAGCATGGCTAATAAAATGTAAAGATGGGAGATAATACACCACTGACTGGGTTTTATTAAGAACGTAAAGGCAATATCATTGTAGTAATGATAGTAAGACATCTAAGATGAAGGGCGGGCCGGCGGACGGAAGTGAGCGTGACATCACAGGCAAAACTATGTTCTGCTCGCGTTATTTCATTATTGGTTAAGCTTCCTTATTAGGGACAGGGGGCGAAGCAGTGTTGCCTTTGATAAAGCAAGGCAATTTCAGGAGCTGCTACAGTGCCAAATTACAGTTGTACATCATGCAGCTCGCTCTCTACTGCTTCCTCAACTTCACCTCAGTCTTCCTTCTCTCCAGCATACTCTGTTTCTGGAAGTACTCTGTATTTGATGTTGATCTCCATGTTGCCTGCACTGTGAAGCAGAAAGACTGAAAGAAGAGTGATGAGCAACAGCTGAAGCAGCAGACAACAGCCCCATCTAGAGACTGTGCTCAGTCACTGTATGACTGAGTGGATGTCTGATGATCCAGGTGCACTAATAGTCGATATTGTCAATATTAAGATATGATGTTACTGATTTCTTGTTCAGAATTTTGGCTTAAATCAGTCTGGACATTTATTCTAACATGATTCGTGTGTTGTGTTTGTGTTATTTAAATTCAACATGGGTTGCTGATATGACTCATGCCATTAAGTGAACGCCTTCATCAAGAATGAACAGACAAAGATAAAAGATGCTCAGGATAAAAGCATCTATCTAGTAATTAGTTAGTCAAGATCAGCTGGAAGCCAAGTCTAACCTTTTGCACTGCTGTCTTACACTATAATGTACACACTGTACACACTTAACTGTTCTGTAGGTTGGTAACGCTGCTATCTGCAGACACAAGACACTTCAACTTTAAGTTTTGTATTCATCTTTTTTAACTGAAACTTAATTGGGTCCTCATTTTATTTGTTGCACTTTATAGTATTGCTATTTATGTTGCTGTATAGTCTTTGGTGCCTTCTATTTTAGTTTTTTCATCCTTTACTTATATATAGTAGATGTTCATAATTTATACCATATTGTAGTTTTGTTGGAAGTCTTTTAAAGTTATCTATTTATGCATTTGTTCTTGCATTTCCAAGGCTGTGACACTCGAATTTCCCTGTGTGGGATCAATAGAATTTATATTATTTATCTTATCTAAGTTAAAAGGACAATGGAAATTACCCTAGAATAGTCTGAGTAATTTCACCTGCATCTATCCTAAGGTCTGCCTTGCACTGAAGTCAAATGACCTTCAAAACATCATAAACATGACCTCTCTCCTTCTCTGAATATGAAGTGACTTGCGGATAAACAAACCATCAGGTTGACAGCCTAACCTATCTGCCATTAGCCCGTCGAGATATCACACTTTGCTTTAATTCACCATCTTTCAGAGTGTCACACTTTATATTCCTTGGCATGGGTAGGCTACATGCGGATGCATAATTTATCTCAAATTAGCGCCTATTTGAGTAAGCATCAAAGCAAGGCGGCTAAGGTTGGAGGAGAGCTTAAGGAACCGCAGGGAAACCATCACCAGGATTAATGCGGGAGATTTTTATAAGAAATTACTGGCTTAATGAAGTGGATAAAAAAGCTGTCAGTGTTTTATTGCATCTAAATTGTGTGGAAGTGGTGTTTAGCTGTCTCGCCTACTCCCCACATAATGGGTCGTGACAGTAGCTGTGAGGCTTATTTAACTTAACTGGTGAATAACTTGCATGGCGAAGCTATTCACAGAGTTGTTTTTATATGCACTAAACCAGAAAGGGGATTTTTTTTTTTTCCTTTTTTTTTTTCGCCTCCCCATTCTCACTCATTATAACGCCACGTAAACAACAGCAAAATCAAGAGAACTGACAGTTAACAGTCGATCTGGTTTCATATTAGCAAAGGTTAAAAAGGTCACTTAGACTGTTAACATATAGAAAATATCCAGTCGACATGAACTTGACTTCTTCATAAATTAGATGTGAGCTAAAGCCTATGTTTCGTCAATACTGAGTAATCCAATTTACCCTACGGTTATGCTCATACTGCAGGCCGTTAATCAAACAGTTCTTCTTTCTTCTTACTAAAGCTTCTGACATTTATAGTCCAACTTGAACAGGGTGTGTAATTCAGCATACAGGTTCAGCAAATGTTGCATGCTTACTGTAAATTTTACAAGCATCAAAACAGTCGCTGAGGTTGGAGAGGAGGCAAAAATGAATGACAATACAAGCGAGGGGAAACACTTGAGCAGTCCTCCAGCGCCATCTTGTGTTTGATTGTAGGTTTGCATCATATTAAATGGTAAGAAACAGACTGCTGAAGAGAATCTGAACATGTTTCTGCTCCTATAATACCAGTGGTAGATGATTTGGTTACTGAAATGACTTTTTGTTCCTTTGGACCAATTATTACAATAACAAAAACAAAATTTAAATTTTCATTTATTTCACACAGTATAGCTCACAATACATGAAGTCAATCATCCATCAAGCTTTGATGTGCAAGTGTTTATTTGCAGGTGACTGATAATGACAAGGTTGAGAAGATTTTGGGGCATGTCTGAAGGAGCTGAGTTATTTGAATACCTTTGCCGAGTAAAAACCAGAACGCCTTAAAATCTGGAACATGAACTGCTCAGTTTTACCCTGCTAAGTTATCATGATAACATTTACGAGTCAGGTTTCTAGACAGGATGCAGCCAGTCTGAGTTCTCACATCTCACCCCTGATATAAACAAACAGACCAATGCGGGCACGACTGTCTTATCTTGTCACCCTGATGGCAAAAAAGCAAATCTGGTCTTTTTCTTCTCCTTTGTATTTAACTGTCTTGATTAGTTTCACTTCCTTACTTTTAAATACAATGAGAAGTGTTATGGTTGAGAACAATAGAAGTTGACAACACACTGATGTATGCATGCTTGGAATGGGTACATTTTGTTTTTTTTGTGAATCCTACTGATTAGAGCCAAACTAAATACAAAACATGGATTAATAATTTTGGGCAGGGTTGGAACTGTAGGTGGAAAAACATGCAAGTTTTTAACCAGTTCATACCATCATCCCACACAGTCAATCTGGAGTGTGAACCCCTCCATCAGTCCGCACATCAGCCAGACCTAAGACATTTTTCTAAGATGGCAACAAATGAGGGTTTAATCATGGCATTTTTTAAAATAATTTCACTGTTTAGGAATCATTTATTCATCTTGGCAGTGCTTTTGTAAAGACCATTTCCAAATTTCCAGCAAAACTCGTCAGAAAGTCAATCAAAAGCTTGATTTTCAGTGGAGCACACACAGACAAGTTACTTTCACTGATTGAAGAGTTTTAATTACGCTAAGCTGCTGTTATTGAGAAGAAGGACATATAGCTTTCCATAAACATCCCTCTCCAGTACAGACAAGGAGCCTAGTCTGGGATCTCATCAAAACCTTTCGTTGACACACACGCACACATACACACAGGCGCACACATACCCACATACATACACACACACACACACACACACACACGACCGAGTTAGTTATCGACAGCACAATCCCTTTGTAGACTGCTCACAAAACCTTGTTTTCCCTTCACAAGTGAAACCAAAAAGCGAGTTTTGGGCAGCATTCAGGTAGGGTGAGGTGAGTGGTGGAGAGAGAAAGCTTGCACTGCAGTCAAGCTTTATCTACATAAGGCCATCTCTGAACATGTGTGGGTTAGGACTAGCAGTTCACATCCGCCATCTCTTTTTTTGTGTGTGTTTTTTTTTCTTTTTTTTTCTTCTTTTTAAATCAGCACAGAAGTGGTCAGGGTGGATTCATCACTAGACAGATTCCTGCAAACTGTCATCACAGCTCGTCCATAGCAAGAGGTTACAACAAGGGTTTGTTTTCCCTCCTCACATTGTTCATACAGAGAGACCAGCAGCTAAATATCACAGTCTTTGACCGCTTTAGGAAATCCCAAGAGAGAGACTGAACACCTTTTCCTGTCCAAGTGCAGTTGTACTCTCTTGACTTCCTCACAGTCAACACGGTGCTTTGCATTCGCCTGTAACGGATGCTTGAATTTCCCTTCCATCCCAGCTTGAGAAGCCTGACCCCCTCGGTGCTCCAGTGCTGCTCCTACACTCTCCAGCCATCTCTCAGTGCTTTAGGTGCTGGGAGCAAGGGATTGTGATTGGCGCACCAGAGAGCCCACAGTTTAGTAGTCTGTCCTCTACAGGCTCCCTGGCTCTTCTCTGTCTTTCCTTCCCTCTACCCTCTTTTTGCGTCTTTTTATTTTTTATTTGCATCAGTGTCTAGACAGTGTTGCGCGGCGTGCCATTCAATGCAACAGCCTTGTTGCAGGGTGAGCCCACAGCCTGGGAGCCCATTGGACGCTGGGTGGAAACGCCCACCTCGAATACTTCATGGATGGCCTTCCGGAAACAGTGGAAGTTGTAGTCTATCAATCCTAAGAAAGCAAGAAAGATAAGAGTAGTTAATACTTTATTATGACGTGAAATTTCCTCTCTGTAATAATATCTGCAAACAAAATCAGTCAAAAGTCTGGTAGATCTAATTATGTCATGACCAGAACAAAAACACATAACATTTAGTGAAAGTTAAGAATTTTTCAGACAAATTGCACCACTGATTTAACAGATGAAGATCAGTTTGTAGTAGTGCCAAGGTTGTGAAAACAGTTTCTTTGTGGCTTTTAAGGGAGTCAGGATATCTCGGCCTCTGTTACTTCACTTTTTACCAATCTTATCAAAATCTGTCTCTTGTAAATTGTAACTTCCTAAATCCCTGGATTTTCCCTTCAATGTACTTAATTGCAACACATTACAATGTATAGATGTTCTTGTTTGGACTTCACCCACTCTACATACATGTAGATGCGACGCTAGAATAACGTAGGAGAGAGAAAATATGAAAAACACTTGACTCAAGCCACAACATCATTAGCCAAATTAAGCCAAATGAGGTGCAGAGGATCACAGATTTCCCTGACAGCTAACCTTTGCGCTCAAAACTTTCTTCTCGCAGGATGCAGACAAGGGCCAGGAACTTGGTGACCTCTTTCAGGTACAGCACAGTGGTGTTGTTGAGCTTGATGATGGCCATGGACTCCTTGTCGTAGGCACTGCCGCTGCCATCCTCCCTCAGGCTAGTGTGGCACAACAAAACACCATAGCATTTAGGGGAAAATGGAAAATAAATTGCAGCTTGCCAATGATGTCATTAATTAAGCAAATAAATGCATAAATGAAGTTATGCTTCAATAAAAGCATCATCAGACAACACATGGGTGAACTCTATATCTTAAAGCATTAACAAATTAGAGGGAGAGTAAATTAAACATGCTTTTTTATTTGTTTCAGTAGTTAACATGCAAATTTATACAGAAAGTTAATAAATCTACTCTATAGATACTCTTCCCTATGTTTGCAACTCATTTATTATAGAGTTCACTGTTAAATTGAATGAGGTTGTATGGAAAGCATTGGCATAACCCAACTCTGACCTCTCTGATAAATTGCTAATGTACAAACAAGCAAACAAAACGCACTCACCCATAGATGCAGGAGACGTCAATGACCACATCGATCATATCACAGCACAGCTCATAGGACTGCATGTCTACAGGAGAGCTGTCTGTGGCGATGTAGATCTTACTGACCACATCAAACAGAAAGGCTTTCTCTATCCCTGAATTCTGCCAGCGACAAAAATGAGGTGAAGGCCGGAGAGGAAGAGAGATGAAAGAGTGAGAGACAAAGACGAAGGGGAGTATTAGGATATTACATTGTGGTAAAGAAACACAGGACTACTATCTGATGTGTTACATTGGACCTGATAATAAAACTGTAAGGGTGGGCGATATGATGACATATGCGGATAAAAAAATTTGGCAACTGTCAAGAGACATTTTTCATCAGAAAATTAGGAAATTGTTTTATCATCTTATTGTTTCATTTTCCTATAATCTTTACACCATGGTAGTTATCCCTTTCATATCTCTGGGTGTGCAGTATTTAGGTCACAAATCAATGACAACGACCGCTTTATGTTGATTTTGGATTCTCATACGATTTTGGATCAATGTGATAATGGAAACACTTTGATTTGACAGGTAGTCAATTAGCTCGATTAGACAAAGACAGACATTTCCTGTCATTGATTTCATCCATTATCTCAATTAACTTTCCAGAAGTTTTCAATACACATGGTGAAATGTGCCAAAAGCTGTGTGAGCATATGGAAGCCAAGTCAAATGACGTTTTGTCTTATCAGTGATCGGTAAGGGTCTCCATAGGAACCCTCCCCCACCTTTTGGCACATTTTACTGTGACACATGTAAAGATATTGATATTGTGATATAAGGTTATATAGTCAAACTCAGTGCTCTTTGAAGTATTTCTTCATTGCTTAACCATGAAATATATCATCTATACTATGTATGTATGTATGTATCTATAAAGTCTATAATAGTATATAATTTATATACAATGTTTTGGAGATGTATTGAATCAACTTGAAGGATGTAGTTTGTGGTGCTGTTGAGCTACATGATATTATACAGAGGTGTTTATGTTTAGCCTGCCCTCATTGATATAAATCGAGTGGACAAAATAACAGAAACACCTGTCGCAGCTATGTCAACTCTCTGGATACATTAAATCTTGACAAACTACATTAAAAAAAACATACAATTATTTGCAGATACTATGTGAGGAAGGACTGCTTGTTCTTCCTTCATCATGTCCTGAGATAAATCTCTGCCAGTGGTCTTTTGGGTGTTACGAAGAGTGACACAATTCAAAATATGTTGCTAACAATGTGCGTGTTAGAAATCCTCCGCCTCATAAAAAGATTAGTGTTACAATCATGGCATCAAAACACTGTAAGAGAATCAGAGGAACTGTTAACCATGAAGTGGCATCAATGCTTTCAGTGACTCACATTCAGTCTGTCACACATAAATCATGGTGTCAATGACAACGTTACTAAAAAAGGTTGGTTGACCAAGAGCTCATGGTTGTCTACTTACAGAAATAAAGATGTTTAGGAGGTTCTCCAGAGTGGGGAGTTGAGGGATGAGCTTCTGCACCACTTTGCTGAAGGCCTCAAAGATGGAGTGGTCATAAATACTCGTCAGGTAAAAGCTGAATGACATAAAGATAAAAAAAAAAAAGAAGAAGAGGTGAATAAGCCGTTACTAAGCTGTCACTTCTCACTTCCTCAAAAAGCATATGGAAGCAGGTAAAAATACAGAAAGTCACAAGATCACATGAGAAACAGATGCTGGATGGTAGAAAAAAAAAGGGTCTGAAGTAAAACATGTAAACCTGATTCAGACATAAAAACACAGGAATGAAAATAAAATTAGCAAAACTGATCTCATATGACTGCAGCAAAACCGGACACACATGATTTATGGACGTTGGTTACTGGGATATATAAATAAAAGGCCAGTGTCTGAGGAAACCAGTGGCTTGAGCCAAATGGAACTGTCTGCATACACTTGGCAGAAGAACAACTTTACAAAGTACCAAAGAGCCACAAGGCAGAGCAAAAAAAAAAAAAAAAAGCCCTCTCAGCTCCGCTGTATATCCAGGACCGCCATGGCTGTCTAACCGGAATAAACAACAATCTCACCCCACATAAAACACAGTGCAGTATGTGCCAACAGAGCCCTAACATCAACAGTAAAGCTGCTGCAGAGCTGACCGAGCTCAGCCAGGACAACCTGTTTTATGCGCTACACAACACATTTAGACTCTACACACAGTGTCAGGGCAAAGGCTGTAATTAACGATCATTTTTAGTTTTTGATCAGGGCTCCAACAATTTATTTTATTATCGAGCAACCTACAGAGTACTTTTTAATCAATTGATCTTTTTGTCTATTAAATGTCATGAAACAGTAAAAAAAATTAAAATAATAATGATTTTCCCAAAACAGATTTAATTTAAAAACTTGTGCAATTAAACTTATTATCAAAATTGCTACCCAACTAATTCTCTTTATATCAACTAATTGGTTATTCTTCCAGCTTTATTTTCAATTAACTTGGTGATGACTTGTACTTTACTTGAAAAACTTAAACAATTACTGTATTATCAATACAGTCATCAATTAGCTTTCTGTCTATTGACTAAGCCATTAACCAAGTAATCATGGCTTTTGATTGGACCATTTCCTCTGGTTATATGACGCAGTAAAAGTGTCAGTATTTTCCACACAAAACAACAAATCAAATCACTAAATCTCCTACAGCAGTTAATGGTGTGAATCACTGCAAGTGTACGTCAGCCTTATTTCTACATCTTACATTTGTCCGCCCTTTGGAGCCCGAATCATAACAGCTATGGTATCTGAAGAACGGGTCATTGATTCTTCATTAGGATGTCAGGGAGGAATCTCACAGTAACGCTCAAGAGTATGCAGACCATACACATGCACAGGCTACTGTGTATGTAACAGAGGAAATTAGCATGAACACTAAAGGCCTTTCACAGGGTTTCTGTAGGGTTCATCAAGTTAAATGTAAGACTTTTTTTCATACCACATGGAATGCAACACCTCAGTCATGGTCACACACATGGCCAAAGTATTAAAGTCAAATGGAAAGACAGAAGGAGCAATATGGTATAGAATTACTTACTATCATAGTATCAGATAATGTCAGAATAATCCCACCTTTAGTTTGTAACTGTAATGTAACATAATGTCTCTCGAGAGCCTGCAGTACGGATACATACTACATTACTGCCTATAGAAGGCATGAGAAAAATATTGAAGCCAATAATTCATTTCTGCTGTGGTAAAGCAATTGTGATGAATTCCAACAGGGGGATCAAATTGCAGGTGACATGCATCAGATGTGACGATGTCGCTCTACATGTGCAGATTCAGGTTTTTTTTTTTTTTTTTTTTTTTAAAAAAGCAACATTTTAGGATGCTCTGTCAATACAATCTAATTTTCACTTTCAAACTTGACACAGATTTGTTGGGGTGAGAGTTGTGACTGGCTGGACTCTGTGCTGACATGTTAACACCTACACGTGTTACAGTAGCACAAAGTTGTTGAAATCCAGAGAACTGCTGAGAAAAAAAAAAGCTGAATGAATGTATTTAACTTAGCAACACTTACAAATAACCAATCTGCTTCCTTGTATGTGTGACAACTTCTTTCTTTTTCTCTTTCATCTGCATAAAGTTCAGGGAAGCCACTTACGTCAAACAGGTAGAGACAGCTTGTCTCTCACAAAGGGAACACAAAGACTGTATCACGAGATGAGCTATATCAGAGAATTCAATTCTCATTTATTATTAACATTCTTGGATAAAAATGTACATCGTTCAAACATGCCAGAGAAAAAAAAACTTGCACATAATTTTAGCACCAACTTAAAAAACAATAATAATTTCATCTGTGTTTGTAAAAAAAAAAAAGAAAAAAAGTGAGTGCTAATCACTTTTACATTTACTGCTCCTGCTGTCGAATATGTGCTCACATTAGGTTGGTATCAGTTTCCTTCATAGAGAGCTGGACCATCATCACATTCAGATAATTTTTTTAATCTGACGTTGCTGAACAGACCACAGTCTCAAACTTACTCTGCACTGTCACTCAGGAGCATCGTTTGGTGGCCTATGAGCACTGTGTTAAATTGTTTTGAAGTTACCTGTGCTGAATTCAGGGCTCCGTTATTTAAACCGGCAGAAAGTGAGCTTGACCTGGTTGATCTTTCTCTGCCACTGTGTTGTTCACATGTTAAAAGGAAATCAAACCAGCTCTAAAAATAAATGCACTCTGCCACGTAGGATGTTTGATCCTCTTCACCCACTCCATCAAGTGGAAGAAATGTCATTACAGCTGAGGAGGTTTCTCTGGAGTTTAGTGACATTCAGCCAGAGAAGCTAAAGTGAAGTTAGCTTCGTAAACAGACTGAATCTGGAAATGCTTATTTAAAGGGGATTTAAGGTTTCTGTTCAGCTGCTGTACCAACCTGTTAGAGCTCATTTCTAAGCTGCAGCTGTGTTTTTGATAAGATTTAGAAAATGTGCTGAACAAAAAAGCAGCAGTACTGTAAAGCTTTAATTCACTGTTTGCTGCGACTTAAAGTCCTGCTGTGCAGGTCTGTATCTGGTGCATTACTCAGCTGTTTTTTTTCTGATGTATGAGTTGCCTCAGTTTATGTAAACATCCCCACAATGGTGAGTTAACTGGATTTGGACCAACTTTTGTGTTGGTCCATTGTTTTAAAGTTTAGCTTAACCTAATTCAACCTACCTCTTTCTTGCAGTGTTACTTTGTGTGTCTGTGCTTTTTTCAAAAAGTATTTTAAAATGAATAATGCAATACAGAAAATGTGCAAATAAACAATACTTTATTGTATTTGCATTATGTATCAGGCCCTTGTTTATTATTATTATTATTATTAGTAGTAGTAAAATATTGTTATTTTTACCATTAACTTGAGTTGCTACATCTTACCCATGATTGTAGAAATATTTTTCCCTCTTTCTTACAAAATGTATATAATTGTGTATAATTTTTATATTAAAAAGGACTTATAAGAAAAGGAGAAGGGCCTGCTCTCATGGAAATGCAGTAATGAGAACAGTGTGTTTGCATGCACTTGCATGTCAATACCAACGTCTGATTGCACAGGTAGCAGGGAAGAAATCATTTCTTCTTTAGCCTTGTACAAATGTAGTGAAGTAGAAAATGTAAAAAGTAAAATAATAAAATGTGAAATGAAAACGTACCTGAGATGCAGCTTCTCTAAGCTAGCGTCAGCCAGATCGTCATTGGCTCTCTGGTGGATGTCTCTCTGGGTCTCGATCTTGTGATCGTCTGACAGGCCGTCCACTTTGTGGATAAAAACCTCAAAGTTAATCTCTGGATTTACCCTGTAGGCCCGCGACACAGTGAGGTGGAGCCTGCCCAGAGCCTCCACATAGTCATCCTAAGAGGAAGAAAGTAATATGTTAATACACATGTGAATTATGTACATCTTTGCACAAACTGAATCATAAAACTGCCCATAAATGCATTACAAAAATCTACCCTACAGTCCTTATTTTAGATGACAATTATCTTCTATGACAGCATTCGTGCACATAATCACCATATCATTAATTAATCGCCTTTGTTGCTGCTAAACTGTCAGCATAGTTAAAACAATTGAGACCAAAACAATTAAGCCTCGTTAAACATTTAGATACCTCACATCTCTCAAAACTGCATATGACGATCTTCTGCTCGGATGAACCTTGATAACGGCCATTTAAAGTGATTCATTGCAGCTGCTGCTTATACAACAAAAAATTACAACAACAATGCCGCAGCAGATTCCCATGAATAAAATGAACAAGAAAATCAAGATGTGCTGCCTATTAAAAGGTGTTACAGTCACAACTTGCTCTTCTGTGAGCTGAGCCCAGGGCGATTATTGTCTGCTGCTCCAGGACAGAGTGATGTGTAAGTCCAGGTATGAGGAAACGCACCACTGCATTGTCTTCCAAAACAGCAAGCAAAACAGTGAAAACAACTCTGCTCAGATATTGCTGTGTGACCAACTGCTGAAACTAATTTAATCTGATGCACCTCCTTGAGTAGAAATAAACCCTGCGATCAGATCAGCTGTGGCTTACATCGTGGCTGAGATTACTTCTTGAAAGCACTTATGGTCATGTGGATAGCATTGGCATAAAAGCCGAGGCGGGTAATTGTCTTTTATTCTGGCTATTCCAGCTGCTCATCACTGAGTTCATTCCTCAGGGTTGAAAGGGGCTTCTACAGTACTTTGCCTTACAGTAACAGTCAGTGACCACTAAAATATGTTGTTTTCTTCTTGTATGCAGTTATAAAATGGAAAATATATACATGAAAGTGAGCCACAATAGTGTCAGATTTCCTATTTGTGAAATGAAATGCCTAGTAACTGCCCACAAGGCAAGAGGAAAAGCAAAGATCAATACCTTTAGTCAGCATATTTGAAACACGACTCTGTTTACTTCCTATGCTCAGAGCCAATTGAACAATACAGTGCGTTGCTGTGAAACAACACAGTCACTTCCTGTGTTTATGGCTATTTCAAATGAACCATTGTTTTTCTGTTCTTCACCTGAGCATCGATGACAAATATCAAAGCCCCGGTTCCTCTGAAGATCATCTCGTAGTCGAAGGTGGGGTCGAAGAAGTCAACTTGGCCTGGGAAGTCCCAGATCTGGAAATTGACGAATGAGCTGCTGGATATGTCGTCCTTGTAGATCTTGTTGGTGCTCTCCAGGAACAAGGTCTCATTGGGAGACATTTTGTGGAAAACCACCTAAAAATAAGAGATGGGTTTATCTTGAAGTAGAACAAATCCAAATGACTTGTCCCTGGGATTTTGTTGCAGGGAGTCCAGAGACCTAATACCAACTTAGAAAGTGTGACACAAAGTAACACTGCATATACATGAATACAATTTGTTCTTATTATACAGTGTCACACTCATCCTACAATCAATTTGTTATCTAATCCCCAGACAAAGCTTTAGCCAAGTGAACATGAAAACATCGGACAGGAAAGTAATGATAAAACAGCTGAGCTCCTTATCACACCTAACGAAATTAGAGTTCCCTACTGTAATCATACTGTGCTAAGGTGAAGATTGGAAATAACACAATTTATAACAATTACCTATACGTCATCTGTTAACGACACAAACAATGACTATATTTATTTTAACATGTATTTAAAGCTGAAACAATTACTCAATTAGCAGACAATCGCAGGGTTTGGAGTGAGAGACCTAACTTGGCTTTTCAGACACACTGTGCGATCCCTTCAATGTGTCATCTCTAGCCACCTTTTGCTTTTTTGATTTGTATTGATATCAGTTAAGTTACTGTTCAACATTTGTGTTAAAATGGCTGAAACTTTAAACATTTTGTTACACATGCTTTTGAGAATAGTGAGAAATTAGTAATACAGCAAATAACTTTAACAAATTATTTTATATATAGAATACAACTTTTTGAAGAAGTGTTTAAGGGTTTTCTTCAGAGTTACACAGATAGAGATATATTGTAAATTATCATTTTGTGTTATGTCACTGTCACGCGTTACTATATTTTGACTGGTGCTATGATTCCGGCACAAACACATCATCCGGATGTCACATGCAGAGCAAAAGGGAAAAGGGCAAAACTTTGCAGACTCAATGGTCTGATGCAACACGTCACTCTATATTCAGCATTTTGCAGTGGCATGCTTTCAAACAGCAGAAGGTAAGACTGTAGCTGTAAAGCCAAGAGTAGTTTAGGGTTGATCAAAGTCTTGCTCTACTGGATACAGTAAGAGGTAGAAAATAAATTGCACTGGGTAATGGTGGAGGACCTGGGAGCGTTCGCTTCACCACTGCCATGTTGAATCAGTGTGTGGGCCACTGAGGTCACAGGCCAATGAACCAGCAAAAAGCCAAATCACATGTTTTATCAGCCCATACTAGAGGATTACTGGGGAACATTAATCAGGGGCTTGAGGGTGTGTGGATTACTGAAAAACAGAACATGTGTGCATGTGCACTTCAGTACAGAGAAGTGCAGTTCTTTACTTTTATTTCCTCCAGGCATTGTCTTTAGGATAGGCTCCTGGCATGTCACGCTATATCTAGCCTGATTCTACTTCCCCCTTGTATTTTAACATGAATAATAAAATATCATAGGAGGGAACAACTGCATCTCATCTATTATTCAACCACGGTGCTAGTCTGGAAGTGGCAGAGTTGAAGGATATGACGGAGACAGCTAACTTTGCTGTACGAGTTCGTGTTCAAATCAAGGCAGTAGGCAACAACCTCTATGAGTCAGTTGGTTTTTCGTAATTTGACTAATTGGAAAATTGTTAAGGAATTTCCACGACTGAAGTGCAATATCAACTATGGCTAATTTTATGACCATGTCATACCATTTTTATTGTCTTCACATGATGTATATTTTCAATAAAATTGTATTTTATGAAACTGTGGAAAAGCTAACACTAATTCACTATGATTCTAGCATGGGAGTCCGATTTTCCTGCAATGTTTTATAACATCATAAAAAATTATTACACTTTTATGAAATAAAACATTAAGCTTCATCTACTAAGTAAATTGATTACAAGACAAGCTGCTCCAGGATCTGCGTGATTGACCACCTCAGGTAAACACTTACCTGGGAGGAGACCCTGGGAGTACTGGCTGCTCTGGACTAGAGCTGAAACAAAACTAATCTGCAACTACTTTGACAGTCAATTAATTGTTTCTGTCAATTTTTTTTAATCAAAAATGCCAAACATTTGATGGCTCCAGCTACACCAGTGTGAGGATTTACCACTTTTTCCAGTCATATGTTGCAGTAAACTGAATATCTTTGGGTAGTGAACTATTGGTTGAATGCAAAAAAGCTGTTTGAAGACATCACTCTGGGCTGTGGGACATTATTACACAGACCAGACCAAAACACTGAAGCAATTAATGAAATTATTGCAGCGCCACTCTGGACTTGGGAACCTGGGACACATAACATGTTTATGTAGGAGGGGGGACTGTGGGGGCCCAACAAATCTGGCCCCCCCCCCCCCAGCGAGTTAATCCGGCCATGATTTACATGCATTGCAGAGAGGATGTTGTCCAAACTGAGGGTGCTGTACTGATTTGAAACTAAGTGTTAGGTTTTGAGAATGGAAGGTGTGGTCGCTGTGCTGTCATGTGAGAGCCACACATCAGACCTGCCCTTTGCCTCACAGCTGGGTGGGACTAAGATATATTTGGCATGTTGGACAAGTTGTTAACTTAATAGTCACATGCTGTACATCCACATATCGGTACAGATACACCAAGCGTCTCTGTCCACCTGGTTAATAATTCACTGCTACAGCTAAACTAAGCTACCTCTGAAGGCTAACTTAGCCATTAGCTGCAGGGAGAACGGTTTTAATTGCACTTCTTTCCTTCTCGTGTGCCCAGACATGTTATCTGCTGGTAGATAGCTATCATCACTTGCGACATGCTAAACTAACTCGCTAGCTCTTCAGGCTAACCTCTCATTGACTTGCGTGAAGCAGAGGAAGGCGCCGCTCGCCTCGAAAGGCTAACACTTTAACGCCTCTTCCTACCTTCTGTATCGATGACTTGCCACTTCTTCTCAAACCCATGAGGAGGATTCTGGGTTTGCTGTCGGACGGAGCCGGGCTGTCCTCGATGTCGGCCTCCTCTTCACCGTAACCGAAATCTTTGGGGAACGAGTCCGCTACCCCGTAGCTGTCAGCCAGCTGTTCCACATCGTACTGAATCGACATTTTGACCCAACGACGGTCGCTTCCCCTATTCCCCCCCGTACTTGTCAGTCACCACACCCGTGTTTATATCAGACGATCGGTATGCAACATAAACTAACGCCAGACAATGAAAATACTTTGTCAATAATGCCCTGGCTACTCAGAAACACAGAGCGTGATCCCACACATTTCCTTAGGATTTCCTCTCCCCTGAAAAAAACTCGCCCTTTGGTCCCGCCCCTTGATTCTTATTCGCTGTCTGTGTTACAATTCGAAAAGTGATTGGTCAAACCACCTGCCACTCTACCGATGTTTGTCGCTGTCACCTGACTAGTACTCAGACTTGTTTTGTGACCTATCACCCGAATAAGAAGCAGATACGCACTCTTATCACTGCTTTTCAAAATCCACTCAAGTATGTAGCAATAACACATAATTTATACATTTGATTTCCTTGAAAAATTGAACATTTCATAAAGGTTGTTTAAAACAAACCAAATAGAAAGTGAATAGTAATGGTGTTACGCGATATCAACAGCAGATGGCGACAGGCACCCACTACAGTTAGGTTGAGGATTTCAAAGTCTTTCCAAAATGTCGGAATTTATACTTAACATCAGCAATAAGATGCAAATATGTATTATTCGTGACAAATGTTTGGCAAGGGCTGACTATTGAAAGATTTTTTTAAAGAGATAACATTAAAGTGTAGAATGGCGGGGATATGTAAGTCCCATGTGCAGTGACTCTTTCCAACCTAAGAAGATAGCATGTAATTTGTACTTTGTACCCTCTGTACAGTGTCGTTACCAGGATCTTAGAATTTTAGAAATAAGTCCAGTTTGAGTCTAACACTCCCAACAAATAAAACATAAAGACCGATAAGGATTTAGCTCTGGCTTGTGTTTGACATACCTTATATTTTTTACGAGGAACGCCTGAATGCATCACCGGTTGCTTGAAGGAAGGTGATAAACGAAACTTAACTTTTCCGGCCCGGCACTTTACCTGGTTTTCAAAATTAACCACTGCGATATCAAGTGAGGAAGAAAACATAGTATCTACAAGAGGAAAGTCAACCTTAAAACCTACATCATCATGGCACACTACAGAGTAAGTGTGTTCGCTTTTCGCTTTATCTTCTTACACTAGTGTTCTTAAGAATTTGTTTCTTGTGTAGTAACTATAGGTTAGCTAAGCTAACATTAGCAAGCTGGGAGGAGAAGGAGTTGATTAGTGATTAGACAGTCGACCTATGAACTAATGTTTTGGTTTTTACAATGATTTGGGTTTTATATCTTCGTTTATAGAGCTAAGTTGAGATCCCATAACATAATGCGAAAAAATAACTACAAACGTCTTTGACAACATTTCCTGCTGCAGGTCTTAATTCGACCATGTTTACTTACAAACCGAACCTTCGGGATGAGTGGATTGCTGGTGTCGGGAGGCCCTGGACCAGATCCTCTGTATGAACTGACTGTTAACATTTCTTGTTAGAAAGTAAATCAAACGACCACATAGAGACGCAAATTTACGACAAAGAGACTCAACTCGACGGCAAAGAGACGCAAAACAACTACACAGAGATGCAAAACAAGTACAAGAGATTCAAAAACACCACAAAGAAACAGAGCAACTAAAAAGAGATCCTTAATGATCACAGTGACATAACATGATTAAAATATAGATGCAAAACTACCATAATGAGATACAAAACAACAACAAAGAAATGCTGAACATGAATGACTAGACACAAATCGATGCAAAATCCTGTGGAAATACATATTAACCATGCTGTTTGCCACATAAATGTTTACGTTATTGTCATTATCTAGACCTTACAGTTGATAGTTTTGTGCTCAGTTGATAATAAAATGCCTGACTTTCCACAGGCTTCGGACACCAAAAGGGAGCAGTTTCGGAGATACTTGGAGAAAGCTGGTGTTGTTGACAGTCTTACTAGTGGTATGCCACATTTTTTTCTGTAGAAATAATTTCTCTCTGGGCTTGGGCGCTATTCACAAACTTCACACCAAATCACCTAATGAAAAGTAAATGGAGCAAACCAGGAGAGCTGCAGACAAGTTTACAACAGAAACTTGCTATTTGTACTGAATCACTGATTAGTAAACAACATCAAATCATCATCTAATATGAGATTTTGGAACCAAATAAATCATCTTAATAATTGAAAAAGAGCATCATTTGAAAAATTTCAACACCACTACTAATATTATACTTAAGTTTCTGTACTGACACCACAAAAATACTGTTCAGTACCTCACTTTAAGGAATATATACGTAACCCATTTTTTCCATTTGACAAAATATACCAAACTTCTCAAATAGGTAAACAAGACCAGAAATGTGTCCAAATATTTGCTAACATCAGTCAGTTTTGGTATCACATTTAGGTCAGTAACTAAAAAGTATTGAATTTAGATTTTTAAGCGTATTAATAGCGTCTGTTCTTCTGCAATTTTATTTAACTCTTTTGTTTCCATTTGGTTTCAGTACTCGTGGCTTTGTATGAACAACCTGAACGGCCCAACAATGCTCTGGAGTATCCTTTTATACACATTAAGCTCTTCTTGACATGGCCAAATAATTGCATGGTCTGTAGTGAGTTGAGTATGTGAGTCAGGTTTGTGCCCCCACCCATCAAATAAAGATGTGCAGAATCAATCAATAAATGAAACACTTTCTCTTTAGATTCTTTAACCAACTCCCTCCAGATTTGTGAAGCAGCATCTCGGTGCCGCTGGACAGATTTCAGCAGACACTGAGGCTCTGCAGCAGGAGGTGATTGACCTGAGGCAGAGGTGTGCACGTCTGGCAGAGGAAAACAAAGACCTCAAAACAAGGGTAAACTTAATGCTGTAAAGAGGCCTTGGGTACCCTGAAAGACGCTATAAAAATCCAAGTTATTATTATTATTATTATTATTATTATTATTATAAAAAATGTATGTCAACTCCGTCAACATCATTTTTAAACATACATACATGTTTTTTCTGAATCTCTCTAGCTGCAGCGCCATGAACCCGTGTCAGAAGATGGATCCACAGCTGAGTAGACGACAGCAGAGCTTTGGTTTGATTAATGTATTTTTTGTTGATATTACTGGCACTTTGAATTTCAAGACGAGACGACACTGTTAAGTGAAAGCCAAGATTTTTTATATAACTGTGCTGTTTTTTGTAAATCCTAGTTTCTACTTTGTTTCTTTGAATCTAACTTATTCTGTACATGTGTGTATATATAAGTTTTTGTCTTGTTCATTAAGACTTTACCATAGCTTTACTGAGAAAGTGCCCTCTGGATGACTGGACAAGTCATTTCTTAAGACATGAGATGTATAATTTTTTTTTGAGAAGCCTATGAAAGAGTTCCATAACCAGCTGATAATTTTTTTTTTCTGGCATTGTGATAAACAAACACAATTTCCAGATCCACATGACATAGTATGTGATAAAGACACACGTACACTTTATTTTTGAAAGATCTGGTCTGAGTGAACATTTGTAAAAAAAATCTCAAAAATGTAAGTCACTTGCAAAATAAAGCACAGTATTGTAATTGGTGGTAAATTAATCTGTGAACATCAATATGTCAATCAGAACTTTTACTTTAATATCAGGATTTTGATAGTGTAGTTACCTTGGTCAGAAACAGCTGTGTACAGTCCGTATTCAGAGTATCTGCAGGACTTGAAAAGTCTTACAAAGCAGTGAATTCAGTTTCCTTTATTTAAAAAAAAAAAAAAAAAAGGAAAAAAAAGAAAAAAGTCCTAGAAGGTATTAAAAAGTCGTGAATATCCTATACAAAAGGTCTTGGATATTTTTCCTTTATTTGATTCATCCATTTTCTGCTACTTAAAAGCAATTCTAGACCACATTGTTTTCAAGGATATTATTTATAATTTTCACCATGCCTTCTACGTGAGTCTTTAACTTGGTGAACATTGCAGAAACCCTGATATTACACAGCAGTCATCACTTGATGATCTACACTTAAACTAATGCAAAATGAAAAAAATCCCTTAAGAAAACAAAACGAGTAAAACACTTGATACAGAAACAAATGAAGACGTCGGGGACCAGAGCACATCAGGTTTTCTACGGGGTTCAATCAGATTTAATAATTTTCAGTTATTTCATGGGGGACAAACAGTCAAAACTATCAAGCAGGACAGAAAACCAACGGTATTCTCTTTGGTGAGGACAGTGCTGCTGTGTTAGCTGCTTATTGATATGCTCAGGAGTCTGATGACAGTGTTAAACTCCCAGGGTGTATCGGTAATGCTGACATTTTTGTCATTGTGGCTTAAAAAGCAGCTAATGTTTCCACTTCTCTCTCGGTGCAGGTCGACAGAATATCTCCTTTCCATTTTGAGAGTTGACTTCAACCTCCCCATCTTTAAATCCTAGTTCATAATACAGATTAAATTAAATTGCAAACTTTAGACAAAATCATCTTTACCGCAAATACATCTGGAAGTTCTTTTGTTTAGCATCACTTTATGGTACAAATGTACACACTTCTTTTGGACAGACATGTTTGCCATACTGGAAATTTAAAACATGCACCAATTACATGACTTTTCACAGTGTCATTGGGAGTAAATATACATTCAGAAAACGCAACTTGGCAGTCTATAGAGCTAACATGTTAAATAAATAGACAATGTTTATATTGATTTTATATTTATATATTTTATTTTTTACATTTATTTTTCATGCTAATTTTGTAGCAGTACAAGTCAAAATAGGAAACAAAGGTAGTCCAAAACTGGTTTGAAATAAATATAAAGCATATAGTATAAAGTCCTCTGTCTTTCACCAAAAGCTATTTTTTGCATTAGTTGAACTGCTGTGGGTTTTTAAAGCATGCCACATTAATTAGGTTGAATTGTTAACTGTTTACGATTTAGGGCAAAAACAGAACAAACAAATATAACTCTCACCAGTTAGAAACCTGCTCACAATGCTGTTAAATCCATAGGTTCAATACAGAAATGAAAGTGAAATCTGTAACACGGACGTCTGTGTGAAGATAACGTTCAAAGTTTAGATTTGCAGGTCCGGAGCTCTTCTGCCGCTTGCGTTACTTGCCACTGATGTTTTGCAGTTGGAGGAAGGTGGTCTCGGGTTGGGCCCGGATCCTGAGCTGGAGTAATCCAGTGACTCTGGGGTGGAGGGCCCGCTTTGATGTTTGTCATCTGATTTTGACTGAGTTCGAGAGGAAGGAGGTCCACTACTGGCTTTTGCACCCCCATATGAATCTGTGTCAGAGCTTTTACCCTCTAGCACTGTGGAGCATTTGGAGGAGCCGTGAGCCATCCACGGTTTCCTTGATGCGCTGACTGGCAGCGTGGGGAAGGAGGAGGCGTGAGCTGCCCTCTGTGGGCGTTTCGGAGAGTCTGGGCTCTCTCTTTCACTGCTGTCTCCCTCAGTGTGTGGAGGAAGATGTAAAAAGTCCTCGGCCTCCTGCTTTGGATTAATCAGGGAGTCACAGCACGGTGGGCTGGGCTCATTGGTAGTTGAGGTACAGTTATACCCTGGGGGGCTTTGAGCTGAACATCTGCTATCATCCAAATCCTGCTGAGTGGCCTGCTCACCCTGAAGAGGTAGAAAAGTTGAAGGTTTGATAAGGTTTGGGTACATAATTGTGCCCTGCGCCCTCTCCAGCAAGAGGGTGTAGTCACCGGGTGCAGAGGCGATTGTTGCCTTTCGAGAAGCACCGGTGCATATTTGCACAACAGATTCTTTTTTATTCTTATTGGCATAGTAGTCATCAAATTCATCCCTCTCATCTCTCAAGTGAGGGTAGAAGTCTAGGATGGCCTTTTTAATCCTCTTGTAGCCCAGATGCATGATCTCCAAGATGTTTAGGAAGAGGGAGATCGCGGCAATGCATTGCATGAACACCATGAAGACACTTTTCTCTGTTGGTCTGGAAACATAACAGTCTACAGCATTCGGACAAGGATCCCGCTCACACTTGAAGAGCGGGTAGAGGTGAAAGCCATAAAGGAGATACTGGCCTGTCATGAAGGCCACTTCGACAAAAGAGCGAGTTACAATATGAGCCACGTATGTGCGGAGCAGAGAGCCTCTCAGAGGAGGTTTGTTGAGCTTCCCCTGATCAAGCTGCTTCATCTCCCGCTCAATCCTCTTCCTGGCTTCTGCCAACTCCACATCGACCAACTCCAGCTCCTTCCGCAGCAGTGCCTTCTTCTTCTGCCGTGCCTTCTCCAGCGCCCGGAGCCTGTAGAGAGCGTGGCCCATGTAAACCAGCGAGGGAGAAGACACAAATATGACCTGCAGCACCCAGAAGCGGATGAGGGAGATTGGGAAAGCCAGGTCGTAGCACACGTTCCTGCATCCAGGCTGCTCGGTGTTGCATATGAAGTCAGCCTGCTCGTCGTTCCACACATCCTCCGCTGCCACCCCGAGGACCAGCATACGAAAGATGAACAGGATGGTGAGCCAGATCTTGCCGACCATAGTGGAGTGGATATGCACCTCCTCTAAAATCCCCCCAAGGAAGTTCCAGTCCCCCATCTTCACTCTGCCATTGTGACTGGTCGAAAGTCAATAACAGAGAAAGATGAAATAATTAGGGAAGAAAATCTGCCGAAACAGTTGAAGTAAAATTGATAGATTCATAATGGACATTCAGTAACAAGAGGAACACCTTTGCAAGAAGTCATTCGGATTTTATACAGACAGCAAAGACACCAAATGAATTAAATGAGCTCAGTATAAAAGAGCAAAATTTGCAAAAAAAAAAAGCACCAAAAAACCCAAGTAAATTTTGTTGGTGAAAATATGAATATAGAAAATAATACACATTGTAAGTATCAAAAAAATGACAGTACCTCTCAACAGGAAAAATTAAACAATAACAAGTAGAAAAGTTCTGAAGTAAAAATGCACCGTGTCACATATTTGCAAAAATATATTATAATAGTAGACAGAGAGGTCTTGTGCATCCAGAGATATGTTTCCTAGTCTTGCCGGTTGTCCAGTTTTGTCATAATAAAACCATTCCCCTCGGCAGAGCCATTATATAAACCAGGACAGAGGTCTGTGTAGCTTCCATTTACCTTGCAGCAGCATGGACAGACTGCCGGTGGTGACTTAAATCTCCTCGGGTCATGCAGCCCTGACGCGGTCACCAAAAAGTTTTAAAAATCGTTAGCGCCCTCCACATGAGTCCCTGCACATCACCTAAACTTCAGTGACCCGCCTCTGCTTCAGGGTTGCCAGAGACAAAGTGGGAACAACTGAATTGTTGAGGGAAGAGTGCCAACACTACTCTGACCAGAGAAAGTCAATACCAGCAGCTTCACTGATGCATTTAGATCATGGCCCCACAGCGATGGGGTTGTAAACAGTTGTAACACCAATACTGACCTCAATCTCAATGGGTCAGGACGTGTTTTGAGATTGTCCTAATATAACTGCATCATTTTAGACTGTTTTGACCCTTCTACACAGCAACGTTTTCATGCATTCAGCAGCACCACATGGTGACAGCTGAACATATATTTTGTTGGTTCATTTAGGTGTGTGCATTAGGTGTGGGTTTTAATAACCAAGCTGTTTCCAATTAGATGCTTTACAAGTCCAGACTTTACACTTTGAACGTGTTAGCACTCAATTATTTGAGTCTGTTTGCTCTATATGTTCAAACAAAGAGAAAGAAACACAGATACTGTGGTTGGGATCCCCACATTATCGATACCAGTCAGTTATCTACACAGGCCTTGCGCGATCAATAGTTTTCTACTGTGGTGAAGTAATCGATGAGTCGTCATGTCCAATTTCATACTCTGCTGCTCCTCTCTGGATGTAATTAAGTTCTTATGCACATGACACATTATTTTATCCCATTTACAAGAAATTTATCACAATAGATTAATGTGTTCAGTAAGTGCTGTTCACCAACTTCACACAGTCCAATTATAAATACTATTAAATGTCTCCGTGTGATAAATATGCTTGTTATCTTGAATCAGTAATGATATTACAGCTTCACACCCATGATATGAAATGCTTTTTAAATGTGCTATTGTTCTCTAGATATAGACAGAGCATGACAAATAAGAAAGGTGGGGATATTTGTTAACCACAGGAAAACCAACCTAACCCCAGGACTGACCTAATTTGTTGTTGACAAGATTGAACCAACCGGCTCAGTGGTTCACTGCAAGACACTTTCCACCCATCTGTTAATTTCAAACTATCCTAAACTGAACTTTTCAGCTCCGACCTGAAACCTCTCATTCTGCCCAGCAGAGCAGGATTGATTCAAACCAGTCTGGTACAAACACATTAGGGGTACAGAGGGTCACACTGGGGTAACATATTGGGAAAATCCCAGTGCTATTTCCATGTTTTTTCTTCCAATCACAGCAATCAATTTTCACTTGTACTTCAGCACCTATATCAAATTTGATTGCCATCAGGAGGACATCTGCTGGTCTACTGTTTAGTAGCACAATTCACTGTTTCAACAATATAAAATTCAGTATTGATTCTGTTTTGTATGTTGGTCATTTGAACCAAGTCTTTATCTTCAAATCAAATCAAATATTGAAAGATGAAGATGAATTACAGAAATCATTTCATAATGATGTATATAGACATGACATCACACATACTTAAAGAGATATGTGTATTTCTTTAAGTAAATTTGCTTTGGCAATAAAATAGTTTATATTTGAGGCTGTCAAAGGAGATTCTGAGAAAATACTCTGTTTTTCGTGGAGAATAAAAACACTTCAGTCCACAATTAACAAACAATATATTCAAACAGATATTCACTTTGATGCCAGTTTGAATGAACTAAATGCAAGTCGTTCACAACTGGAGGGTGGGTCGTTATCTGTCGTCTTTGAAACCTCCATGACCAACCAAACTGAATGAAGGAAAAAAAAACGTAAAACCACCACAGCAATGACAGTTTAGAGGCAAATATTTTTATCTTGCAGATCAGGCAGCCATATTATCTAATGCCATTACATTTATCCAATGCAACTCTACATAAGGCAATATACCATTACCCACTGTTTCAGGATCGAGACAAACAAGTTTGTAATAATTGACTATTGATGGACTAAATGAACTATGGAACTTTCCACATACTGTAAAAGAGCAAAAGCAGTCACTTCCACAAGGGCACAATCAAATACATGTAACTGAGTCCCTGCAGCACCTTCACTGTTAATTCTGTTGATCAATAGACTTGTCCTGTATCAGCAGGAGGTCAGATTCAGTTTCACAAATAAATACATATAAAAACATCTAACTTCATTAAAAATACGATGAACATTGAGCTGTGGAAATGTACAACCACATGTCGAAGGTCTGTTTGGTCTTTGGTTGTAGTTTCCCTGTAAATCTTGGATAAATTAAATACATTTTCAAAATTAAGATCTGCTTCTGAATCCCAACTGGTAGCTGATACTCCTTGTTACATCAGATATAAAACAGTAATATTAAAAATTTTCATTTATAGACTTATGGAGCAGAAAATGTACTGTCAGTAAACTCTAACCTACACTTAGCCTTGGTAGTTAAGTAATATCAACCATCCTTTAATTGTACTAACAATTACAATAGATGGTTTTTCCAAAAGCTGGATGTTTATGTTAAAAGCTGATTTAATGTTTCCTGGTTTAAAGAAAAACAATAACAATAAGTATGACAGAAAAATTAATCAATATTTTTACAACTCGACATGTAATTAGCCTCATCCTGTCGACAGGATGTGACTGAAACAATAACATGGCGTTAAGCCGAGGCCTGATGGTAAACCAGCTCTAGTGGTTACAAAAGGAAATGGCAAAACCAACATTTTGGACATTCAGCCCTTTACCCCTGAGACTTCTTTGTTCTTTCTTTTTGTCAGTGATGCCATACAACACCCAACCAACATGACTGCATAAATGTGATACCTTTGTCAGATCTACTGTTTGAGGGATTTCATTGTGTTTCAGGCACATGTTCATGAATACTGGAAGTCCATAACAGACCTGACCTGATGATTCAACGGAAAATTAACAGTACAAAGAAGCATAATGTCATACCACAAAAGTCTGGCCATAATTTCCTTGGATTCCTTGGTTTTCCAAAGTTACAGCATTTTCAAAACTAGGACCAGTGTGTTCATTCATTATATTTATCATGAAAAGTACAAAAAATTCTAAAATCTTTCAAACAAACTAGACAAAGCAACAGCAAAGATCATATCTGGAATAAGAGAAATATTTATAAAAGGCACATTTCATTATCAACTTTGTTTAAAATCAAAAGATATGCATTTTGCAATGCTCCACATAAACAGCAGGGGGAACACTTCCACTTGAACTCATAAATTCAACTGTAGAAAGAGAGAAAATTGAAAAAAAAAAAACTGTACACTACACAAAACACAAAAGTACATCTGTAAAATACAGTTTCCTGAGTGTGGTATTTTGTTGTACAGCTGATGGAGCTGCAGCTTTATAGTCCCTACGGTGCTGGTGTGAGAAAGATATTGAAGAGCACAGCAAAGAGCACAAAGACTATGTAGCCCACTATGCACAGCCAGAAGCGTGGGTCCTTGAGTAGCTTCTTGTTGTAAGCACTGAAGAAGATGTAACCAATGGTCATCCCTGCCACAATTCCTCCAAAATGAGCCACAAATGACACCTGAGGGGCGAGAAGATGAAGTCAGGTCTCAGAGTTATGTGGTAGGTCTAACCTTCACAGTTAAATTGAACAGAGACCCAAACTACTGTCATCCGACCTCACTGAAATGTGGTCAACAACTCAAAAGCTGCAGGACCAGTTTAACAGCCAAAACAAATGAGTGGTCGGGGAAAAGGGGATGGAGATAACAAGGAAGGGGAGGGGAATAAGGAATCGGGTTTTTCGAGTGTAATCTAGTCATCAGTTGGAAAGATAAACAATATCCTTCAAAGTGAAAGACAATACTTATATCCGCTTTCACTTTTACTATTCAAAACTGAAACTAAAGACAAGGGTCAACATTTATAGAAGTGGATTACTGATTAAAAAAGCAGTATCTGTCTATTAGCCATGCCCGTACAGAGAGGTATGTATCTGCGTGACGTATCGGGTCCCAGCTAGATCTGTTGGATCCTGTCTGTAGCCACAAGCAAACAAAGCATCACCAAACACTGTCAGCTTGGGGGAGGTTAGCTGGATTAGCTGGGTCGACCGAGGCTCTTACAGTGTCGAAAATGTTTAGCAAGACTGTTTTTTTTTGTGGTTTTTCTCTACTGTACAGAAGAAGCTAAATCATACCTTCAAACCAGCCTCATCATTGACAAATCTTCTGTAGAAGGCAAATCCAAAATCTGTGCCGACTGGAAAGAGTCAAAGAAAACGGTGTCAAATAAAACATTTTTGAAAAGGTATGATCAGAGCAGTTAGAAAAATAATAATAATAACAGTGAAATCACACAGGTGAACTTACCAAATATCACTATGGCGAGGATGCGAAACACTCCAAGGAGAGGAATCATTTCTCGGAAATTCTGTGGATTGAAACGTTCACCAGTGGTAAAGACCACAACTAATATTTTAACTTTCAAAGTGCATAAAACAAAATCAGTGCCTGAAAACACAGTGAAGGTCAGTTTCATTACACAAAGCAGAAATGGCACAACTTCAGGACAATAGATGTGAAAACTAAAATATGAAGGAACTGAATGTGTGCTCAGTAGTTAAATAATACATGAATGTTCCTTTAAATTGATATTTAAGACCATTAAAATGACATGACTGAAAATGTGAGTGAACTGGTACTGTACACACACTGTGCTAACTGCTAACTGCTAACTGCGGCAGCAACTAATGATTATTTTCATTACCGAAAAAAAAAATTGTTGTTACAATTCTTCATTTTCTGTTCGACCTTCAGTCCAAAACCCAAACAGTTTACTGTTAAAAATGATGAAGAAAAGCATTAAATTATTATATTTGAGAAGCTGGAACCAGAAAGAGTTTGGTATTTTTGCACAAAAAAACAACTACCAGGGTGATTCAATCATCAAAATATTAGCTAATTAATTTATCAACTAATTGTTGGAGCTCCAATGCTAATTGAATTAGAAATGTATTTTTTTCCTTTTTTTCTATTTTTTTCCTTTTTTTCTTTTTTTTATTCTGTAGATATTCATTATATAAAATTTATAGTCTTGTCCAGTTTAGGTTCAAAATATCCACTAAAAACATAACACTTTCTTAGAACATAGAATTTAATTAAAAAAAAAAAAAACTGTCTAAAATGTTGAGCTGTGAAAATGCACGACTAAGTGCCTCTGTTCAACTACAGTCATAGCGACCCAGTCACATCTGTAAACATGGTGCGTTTTGTAAAATAAGATGTTTCCAAACTACAATCTGTATCTGAAATCATTCTCTAAACAAAACACAGTCAACACTTGAGACTGACATGCAGCACAAACTGATGTTTATACCAACTCTTCCTGTTACAGTGTATGTAAACTTACCACCACTGCATTCATAAAATAGCCTCCTATTAGGGCGTAAACACCCCCAGAGGCCCCCACCAGTGCACTGAGAGGATCAAAGATGGAGCTGGCCAAAGAGCCTGAGGAGAAACAGCCAAAGAAATGATCAGTTTTACCATCAGTGGCATTTTTGGCAGCCGGGATTCGCTCTAACAGAAACCGGAAAAACACAATGTTAATGTGAGCTAATGTGTGCAGAGCATTCACAAACACACATGAAGTCCAGCTAGTTTTGGGACTTTGAAAGCTTTACTTGAGGAAGAAAAAATGAGGGACAGACGGAGACGAGCGTTTCTTCTTACCAGCCAGGACGCCGGCAAGGTAAACCATTCCCACTTCAAACCCTTTATGGACCAGTTCCAGCGGGATCCCCAGCAGCAGCTGCATCACCAGGTTGCCCACTATGTGCTCCACACTGGACAGGCAGAGGTGGAGAATGACCAGGATATAGTTGACCATGAATGCTAAATGTCACACAAATGTACAGGGTGGTGGACAAAATAACAGAAACACCTGTAGCCCTGCAGTGAATACCAGCTGTTTGCTTAATATGGGGGGGGGTAGTTTTTAAAACAATGTGGGGTTTTTTAAAGGGTATGTTGGTGTAAACAAACCCCATGTAAAGACCTCAACCAGCAATGCATTTACAATTCCCTCCCCTGTCTCTGACACTAAGTCCCAAGACAATTTGTCTAACTGAAGATGTAAATATCTAACAATTTAAAAGACACTGTCCCACCCGCTGGATGCTTTACCCTCGGTAACGCTTCTTTAGGTGTGTTTTGGTCTGCACTGTAAGTTTTCTGATTCTATCTGTGCAAAGTGTTTTAGGATCCACATATCACTGCAAATGCTGTGGGGTTACACATAATTAGACTTTTTTATGCCAAAAAAATAGACAAGGCAAAAAAAACTTTTTTTCATTTCATTTTGTGCCTCTTATAACATTGGTTCATTCTTGGTTCATGGAAACAGTAAGAGAAATATAGAATATCACCAGACTTATCTTTTAAACAAATATCCTGTTTGGTATCTTTCAGTGACTGTTGGCGAGTGACTGTTACCGCTCTTCCTCTTTGCTAATCTAGTTTTCCTGCATGCTTCTGTGTAGTCATGATTTTTGGTTTTCCTCTGTGGCTCCTGTGGCTTACATATTCATGTTTTTTTTGTTTTTTTGTTGCTTTCCACATCACCTGACTTTGAAAGAAAAGTGTCAGCAACTCACGTAATAACTACCTGGCCTCACTGTACTTCTATAAATTGCTTGGAAAATGTACTTAGAAAAACAGATTTATTTAAAGGTAATAGTATTCAGCATCATATGACTCCGAAACTGTGCATCGGTTAAAAATCCCTGAATGAAATAATGAAGCAAATCTCAAAAATAATGACGACATACCAAACAGAGGATGAGCAAAGAGGTGCAGTGCTTACAATCTGAAGTCTCAGAAATGACCACAGGAATCAACCCACACTTCTGACAGCATCAAAAATAAAAAGCCACAAAGATTATGAGCTTTATCAGACTGGTGTTTACTGCAGGGCCATGACACTGTACTATGGGTGCCCCTGGGATTTTGACCACTTTTCGCTGTGACTCAAGGCTTTGATCATGTGATGACAGCATCTAAAAGCCCTGCCCCCGCTTACCCGGCGTGGACAAACATGTAGGAGAAGAAGCGCCATGCTTCCTGCCTGCTCTCAGGCTTGTAGGTTAGAGGGCTGGTCCAGATGCCTTCATCCAGGGTCACCCACTGTTTCTGAGGCTTCCACACAGCGTAGTAGATAAACACTGCCAACTGATGAAGAACAGAGAGGGGACACAAACATTAGGCTTGAAGTATGGGATCCAAAAAGTCCCTCAAACCCCGACCGCTTCTACTGTAGAAGGGGAGGGGAGGGGAGGGGGGAAGGCTGAATCACAAACAGCTGTTAAAATAATGAGAGGACTAAATTAGACATACAGATGTTGAAGTATGCTTTACCAAGACATGTATCCCACTGAGTTGACCCCCAGTGTGGTCGTATGGAGCAGCTCAGATGTCTGAATGCTTGTATTTGTATAAATATAAGTCGAGGGAACGCTGACAAAGAACACAGAAGCTCAGTCGATCTTCTCTGGGTAAAGTAAATGCCTAATCCCTGTGAATAAAGTATTCACAGCCATTCAAATGCACTGACACTGGACATCTGTGAGCTGGAAAGAGTGAGCTGTTCATGTATGAATAAGTAGTGTGCAAAGCGCTTGGTGATAAGAAAGAAAATGTGAGTATGAATTGACAGCCTTCAACTGAATCTGACATTAACATGGCACCAATTGGAAAACTGTTTCCAAAGATTTTAAATGTTATAAGCACATCAACACATCCCCTCATGGTAATAATATAAAGGGATTTTTTTTCTCAGAGTTTGAGGCAAAAAGCATAAACATGAAACATTTAAGTCTATTTAACATTTATAACCACTATACAAACAGTTAAATTGTTTTTAAACACACTATAATGTAGTTTAAGCAGCATATTTATATAGGCTATAGGATATAGGATATTTAAGTGTTTATTAATGTACAGTATTTGTCAACAACACAATGGTGTCATTCATTATCTGTTTATACATCAGCACTTATGGGTGCCCACAGGAAGAGTTATAGTTGATTACAAATACATTAATTAATAGATCTGCTTATTTAATTCTTAGTAAGAGTTTAATAAGTGTTGCCACAATATGATAATGTAAAGAAATATAAAAGGGTTAATAGTAGTGGTCAATAATACACAGAGTAAACTGACCATCTGTTGTATCTGGGCTGTTTAAAAGTCTTGTTGCTTCTTAAAAAAAAAAACAAACAAAAAAAAACTTCCCACTGTTTCACATACAGGCAATCTTACAACGCATTCCTGGAGGGGTTAGCTTAAAGTCATAATAAGTGACATGTGTGGGGGTCATACAAGCTACATAAATAACTCAGTATATCTGCCTTATAAGCCATAGTCATGGGGAAAATAAAGCCACAGCATCCCCCGTTTGGCTGTTTCAACAAACCGCCTACTGATTCCTCCACATTCCACCAGATGTGTTTATTTACTGAATCTAAAAGTCAAAAAGACACGGTGGCTTTCTGCTAAGGAAAACCCATCTCTGAATCCCACCAGTAAAGGTCAACTGTACACAGTTTAACCTAAATCTACTAATCATTAAAACTACTGTTTTCATTGACACCATGCCCACTGAGGTTTGCACTTGATGAATCAGGACATTCAGAGGAGGTGGCGCAGATGCCAGAAAACACAGAAAGAAAGAAAAGAACGCTCATGGGCTTATGAGAGCTGCTCAGTTTAAAGCTTGGCCATTGTGAAAACCACAAATTTTAATCAAAAACTGTAGCTGTGACAGTCAAATAAGACTAATGGCTTCGTGAATCATTTTGATTTGAAGATATTTGACCCATGCTTCCAAAATGTCACCTCAGTATCTGCTCTACTAAATACAATTAAAGCAAATCTATACAGTAATTAACGCTGTGGCAGCATATAAGCCCAATGTAGGCTGCATGCTGTATAATTAAGATCACAGAATCTATAGTGACTGTCCCAGTACTCATATGTTATGTGTGTCGGGTATATTCAGGGCAGCGCTACCTCTCCAATACTGATGAGGATGATGAAGATGGGGGGTGGGCAGCAGTTGGCACGTTCAAGGTACTTGCTGCGCAAGTCTTCTGGAAGCATCCACTTGGACACAGTATGCTGGAACTTCTCACAGCATCCCAGCTTCCTGTTACCATCAGCCTGGTCCTCTTCAATCCTAAACTCTCTCCCATCGCGGTCCACGGGTAACGGCTCCTGCTGCTCAACGTCATAGTCGTCCATCACTGCTACGGTCCTACAGAGCAGATTGTATATTCTGATATAGCCATGGGCCAAATGAGGACATTTATACCTTGAGATGATGTCTGTGAATGTTCTCATTCGTCCAGGTCATAGTTATCTCTCTCTCAAATTGAATCGAAGGCAACTGGACTTGTATTTGTCTGTGGAAGACGTTTCGCCTCTTATCCAAGCGGCTTCATCAGTTCATCATGTATTGGTCTCTCTAGTCCGCACTAGTCTGACCAGATCTGGTCAGACTAGTGCGGACTGGATAAGAGGCGAAACGTCTTCCACAGACAAATACAAGTCCAGTTGCCTTCGATTCAATTTGAGAGAGAGATACCTTGAGATGATACACATTAGTCAACCACCAGCAGGGGCAGGTAATAACCTTTAGAATAAAGGGGCCATGTTTGTGAAATTAGTAAAAATGTGTTAAGAATCAAATTTAAAGCCGTCATTCTTGACGACAGTGAACTGTACATTATTAATGGTTAAACTGTTTATTCAGTGTAATAAATGAATGCCAAATATACAACTTTAAATATTCAATAAATAACTGCTATTTGTAACCTACAGCCATGGACAAATACAAGGCAATTGGGCCCATAGACACAGAAGGCCTCCTTTGTGTCTTCTTGGTCTTACTGTGTCTCCTAGTAGCAGTTTTGAGTCTCTTTGTGGTTGTGTCACATCACTCTGCTGTCCTCATTTTAGTCATTTTTCATCTCTTTTTAGTCATTTTGCTTCTCTTCGTGATCCTTTGATCGACTTTCTAACAAGAAATATTAACAGTCACTTCACACATAGGTTGAGTCACACAGACCTGCTAGGCCAGTTCAATAATACATCCATCCATCCATCCATCCATCATCCATCCATCCATCCATCCATCCATCCATCCATCCATCGGCTTTTTTGCTTGAATAAATTACAAAAACTTTAAAACTATTTCAATTAAGAAAACAGTTGTCAGTTCAACTTTCTGTGGATCAATTAGTTGTTGCAGCTCTACTAACAACACAATCTTTTTTTTTTTTGTATTTTCAGATCACAGGAACCAAAGAGTCCAGGATTGCTGCAATGATTGTTCAAATGGAAAGGATGGGATTTGAACAGGAAACTTTTCTCCTGGAAAGACGTTCACTGTGCTGAATGCCACTATGTGATCTCTGAAGATATAAGGGACTAATTTTAAACATGATTTAAACTCGGGAAAACTGGAATCATTGGGGGAAATTATTTTTACCATAATATCGTACTTTAAATTTTTAATGTGCTCTACTTGAGTATTTCCATTTTGCTTCCATTTTATTTCCATCTTCCATCCTACTCCACTACATTTATTTTACTCTAGTTACTTACAAATAAAGGTTTTACATACAAAACATATGATCAGCTATTAAAATATAATCATTTCTGTAGATGAAACTAACAAAAAACTATATAATCAGTTTCACCTAGATTAGGTGCAATATAAAAATGGCGTTTACATCCGACTTCAGCGGTACATGCAACCCAGTAATTTAGAATATATGTATATAATAATATAGCATATAAAATGCCATTCTGCATAATGAGTAGTCTTACTTAAACTGCATTTACTGAACTACATTTACTAGTAATGGAGTATCTTAATCTTCTACCACTGAAGAGAATTAATAATTACACTCTTCTCTTTTTATGTTGCTTGTATGACCAACAACATTTGCAATCTGTAATAAATGTATTTCAAGTGCAATTACATACACTCCTTCAGCAAAACAATTAAATACACTCCTTCAGCAGAAATATTAAATACACTCCTTCAGCAGAAATATTAAATACACTCCTTCAGCAAAACAATTAAATACACTCCTTCAGGGAAACAATTAAATACACTCCTTCAGCAGAAATATTAAATACACTCCTTTGACAAAACCTTGTTTAAGTGAAAAAATGTACCAAAACGTACAGCAGCATTTTTATCAGTGGTTGGAGAAGTGTTCAGATCTTTGACTTCAGTAAAGACTTTGACTTCAATTTCTTTACTTAAGTAAATGCATGTGAGCATTAGTGTTACGTATACTCACGATGCAGAGTGGCCCATTTGAGAATATCTAATTGGATTATAACCCAGGATGCATAAATGTGTAAACATCACTAATGCTGCATCTGGTAAAGGTGGGGCTAATTCAAACTGCTGTTTAAACTGCTGAGTAGCTTTTTTTTGATAGATTGTAATTTATTAGTTGAAGTGTATTAATAATCTGAATCTGCAAAGTAACTAAAGCTGCCAGATACCTGGATTGGTATAATAAGTGCCACCAACTGTAGCACAGAGGTATTAAGTACCATGAAATGGAATTACTGAAGTGAAGTACAAGTACCTTAAATTTACTGTAAATCAAGTATTTGAGTAGATGTGCTTAGTTACCTTCCACCACTGCCTTTTACCGTAATTTACACATTGTGTTACAGCAGCCGGTAGCGTTTCCTGTTTACTGGGCGTTGTTGACTTTGCTGGTTGGTTATTTCAGGCAAGTCTCCAAAACCAACAATAAAATCTAACTGAGACTCCTCACCACAGAGGAGTAAATTTAAATAATATATGTTTTAGTTTTCAAGGAAACGAACGTTAACTCTGGCCTACTCACCTAAACCTTCAACAGGAAGAGTGCAGATGGCTCCAGGCGGTCCCACGCATAGACACTTGATCCGGCTAAACTGACTCAAACAGCTCAATGTGCTGAGCTGAAAAGTGCATGTTCAAAAACAGGTTCTGAGTTCAAAATACTGTACAATGGCGTTTTTAACACCATTCCTCCACGTAGTCCGACAACCCGATGAGTCTTCTTCAAACCCCGACCGTCCCCGTGAGACCGGGATAAAAAAAGACCACTTGGGGATAATTATAGCCCTTTCAATGCTTTTTCCTGCAAGAAACTTCCTTCCCCGGCCCAAACAAACCTCTGATGCCTCCCCCGTCTGCTCAGCCACTGTACACAAGTTTTAAGAACTGTCTGTGAATACTGCCGTCTCTCTGCAAGCCGAGGACTACAACAGCCTACCTGTTCCCTCCTCTCAATGTGCCACACCTGAGATCAGTGACGTCACCAACACAATAGATTCTCATTATGAGCAGCAGCATCATTCAGAGCCCTCCACCCCCTCTCCACCCACATAGCCCGGGAAAGAGGCAATAAAAAGGGGCCATCTTTGATCCAAAGTGTCATGTATTAAAACAGAATAAACAGTGTTTCATTGAGTAATGTGCACTGAGATCAAAGTCCCACTTTCAAATTAATGTTGCATTACCTTACATGTATCACCAGGTGGCACTAGAGCCCACAATTAAGAATAATGGAACTGCATTAAATGTTGACATGGCAGGTTGGTTGCAAAGATTATACAAGTAAGGAAATATACAACTCTCCCAAAACAAAAAAAATTTTGTTGTCATCAGCACCCCGAGGTTGCCTGCCTCTCTCAATCAAAATGATACTGTGCTTGAAGAATAAATCAACAATTGTCATTACAATGAACCTGGGTCAGAACTCCTTTTGAGGTAACGATTTTTACACCAAAATAACTATTACCCCATAACCCATGCAGAACAAATACTTCATGGACATTCTGGTGAGACTTGAGAGATGGAGGGCTGCAGCTGACAATTACATTAATTGTTTTGCATAAAATGTCAGAAAATAATAAAAAATTCTCATTGTTATCTTCCAAAGCCAAAAGGTAATGACTTCAGATATCTTCTGTCTAAACTAAAGAACAAGGCCCAAAGTTATTCACTTTACAGTGATACAGTTGCTTGAGATAATGACAGAGACTGCCTTTTTCAAAAATTTGATGCAAGGGTAAAAAAAAAAAAAAAAAAAAAAAAAAAAAAAAAAGTGTCCAAAGTAAAACTTTCTCTTACATTAAGGTTGCAGCATTTTAGAGAGGGCACACGGTACGAGTTAACAGAATATAAAGGAATGCTGTGGTGCTGGAGTTGTTCTTTTTTACTCTCATGTAGTTCTCCATTTGGGGTAAAGTGCTCAGAAAATGAAAATGTGAACATCTAAAGTGCCATTTCATTTGAGCCAACTCATCTACTGATGAAGAACGTGATACAATCGAAATCCCAAGAATAGCTACCACTACTGACCTTGTGTTGATATTGTTTTTGCCATTACCCATATTGCTAAAAATACAAAGCTCTATTTAAATCAACATGCCAGACAACAGATTTTAATCACAGAACTTTTATTTTTTTCAAAAGGGAGAAAAATCCACATTCTCGGGTAAAGAGTTGTGAGGAGGGAGTGGGGTCGAGGTGGGGGGAAAGAAATGTGGGACAACGTGAGAAGAAGGAGCCATTACATACAGCTGCTGGAAGGTTATACAGAATGATCATATGAGCCAATAAGCTTTTTCTACAGCACCGGCAAGAGATTTGACACAGATCTGCTTTAGTCAGGATTTTAAGAAAGAGCATATCAACAAGAAAAAGGGCAAAAAAGGGAGGGCTTCATACATAGTTTATCTTTCCGATTCTAACTTTTGGCCAGCAGCAATAGTTTTGAAGTAAGAAATCAACTTTTGGATTAAAAACTGGATAAACCATGGCACCCAAACAGTTTGAGATGGAAGGGAAAAAATATGGGAGTAAAATGAAAATCAAGTGGAAGAGGGCAGTGGAAGAGCAGCCATCTTGTGGGAGGAAGCTGGGATCTAATCCACGCGAGTTCAGGAGACATCTGAAACACATGAAATGATTGATATTGTAAAACCAGCAGATGATCCTAAACTCTGAACACCGATTAAACAAAAAATATTTATGTTGAAGAAAATGGTTTATGATACTCACAACTAGCAGGCCGGGCTCCGTATCTTCGCATGATCTGGTCTTGTGTAAATTTCACAAAAGATTCATATTGTTCTGGAAGGAGAAGGAGGTGGAAGTGAAGCTGTGTCTGTAGTTTCAAACACCAAATGAAGCAGAGGACTGAGTGTATGTCCACACTAAGCCGACTAATTATCAAAACAGTTTTGTGTCAAAGTGACTTGCATCCACAGCAGTGGTACCAGGTCTGCATAGATCTCTGTCCACACTGAAACATGTGAACAGGAAAATGTAAATCTTTTCTTTCACTTCATCCTCTTTTCAGTTGGCAAACAACAAGACAGCACATCAGAGTCAACATCTGGTAAGGCTCTCAAGTCTCAGCTTGTTAAACCTATGATCAGTCTCCTCCGGCTCTCTGAGATTACCTATACTCTGTTTCCATACAACCAATCCCATCATATACAGTAGTTGTTCTTAATTACAGTTTTTTGTTTCTGTTGTCAGAAAAAAGAACAATTGTGGCTAATAAATGATATTGACCAGCAGCCATGCTAAAGTTGCTGTGCTGAAGTCATTTGACAAAATCAACAAAAGTACAGTTTAATGACAGATCTGCATTGACATTTATACACTCTACAATCCATTTTGGACAGGTTCTGTTATTGGGTAAGGAAAACATTAGCTTAGTGCAGACAGAAGGCTTAAAAAGAGATAAAAAAAAAATAAAGATTATGTTTTTAAAAATATAACTGGCTTAACATGGACGTACTCTCAGTACCTACAGCTTTGCGTCAGTGGCTAAACAAAATTGACTTATTTTATGGCACTTGTTCACTCCAGCTGCTATAATTCATTCCCTGCCCATTTACAGACTTGGCATTTAGAAGCTCATATAAACCCTGAGGAAGCCATGGATGCCAGCACTGCAGAAGTTATCAGATATGATGTGAAAAGATTCTCAAAAGGGAGGGGGAAGGATGTTTCTCATTACAGTCACACTTTTACTGATCTTCACTGCCAGAATGTAAAACATTTGGACCAGGTGAATTGTGAGTTTTGAAATAAAAGTCCTGGGGTTTTTTATATTTTATTTATTTTTAAAACAAGAATGATTTTTACCTGCAAGTTTTGTGTTAAGGATCTGTTCGTACTCCTCCCGGATCTTCTCCTCATGATCTTTGAGCAGGCGCTCACACAGGTAGCTCACCTGCCTCAGTGTGAACGAAGGCTGGTCCTTCCTTGAGGCACCTGTGAAACACAGAATCAGATCTGCTTTAAAAAAGCTGAATTACAAACCTCTCCTGTGCAATGATAAGTCACCTTAGCAGAACTGTCCTCTCTCCAAAAATAGGTGCTCGGCCAGGTGCACATTTACAGCTTTGTTCTGCGTTGTCCCTCAGCTCTGCAGGACCAATGGGGTCATGCAGCACTAATGTTGTCCCTTTCCCTGAGTCCCATCAATGTGTCCATCACAGCACACCTGGAGCCACTTTTAGTGAGGTGATTCATTACCCAGTGGTCTTTGAGGTCTGCTATGAGTTGGTTAGACTAAAATGTTTGTAAATCACAGGCAAGGATGGCAGGGCAAGGATGAAGGTTTAACAGCAGTCTCAGAGACAGAAAGAGGCAGAGTTAGCAACAGTCCAGTCAGTGTGATGTATGAGAGCGTTCTGGAGAGTGAAAGGAAAGAAGCACAGGATTCTGAAGGCCTGGGATTTGCATTACATCTCACACCTTAACTACAAAATTGTGCTTCACACATCAAACTGCTCCACTGTTATTGCAGCACAAATGTGTTTACAATGAGGAGCAGAAGCAAAAAGAAAATATGCCATCTTTGTCAATATGAATGATCAATTATGCTGTAGTTGGACCGCAACAGTGGAGCCAGCGCCTAAAACGTGAATGTCTGCAACTGACTGAGTGCTGGAGTTTCCCCATTTGACGTTGCTTGAAATTAATTGGTGCAAAGAGTTTATTATGTCATCAGGGGGTGTTTCCAGGCTGTGTTGCAAACTTACTGGCTTTGCTGCTTGAATTACTGACTTTTCAGAGCCCCTTTCTTCGGCGATTATGTTGTTACAAATCTGAATGTTTGTAAATTGTCAACAAATGACTAAAATGTTATGTTACTCTGCACTCAGCAGCAAAAGAAAGGGAATTCTAAACTGTATACATGGCCCTATTTCAATCTACAACTGACCTTAAAGAATCTATACGTTTGGAATGGTGATTCCTTACATTTGAACCAATATAGTATGTATGAGACCAGAAGACATGGCTTCTGGAGTTGTAGTCCTCATAAAAAAAAAAAATAAATAAATAAATAAAAAAGTGTATGGATTTGTGTAAAGTCTACAGTAAATTCTCCTACCTGGTGGGGAGCTGGGAGCGTTAAGGGATGAACTGGGGCTGGGAGCGTCACTGGAGCTACAGGCCTCAGCCTGGTTGAAGGCCCCTTCCAGCTGCCGCCGCCTCTGGATCCGGCTGTACTCCTGACGGAGGTTCTGGAAAATCTGCTCTGTAAGGAAGCAAACAGGAACAAGGTCAAAAACTAAATGGACAGAAAGTGCTCACTCACGTATGTTCCAGCAAGAGTTGCTCCGACTCTGATACCGGTATTGGAAATGCCTAAAATACTGGACCAGGAATTGGTGAGTTCGCAAGTCTATATGCACCAATCTGATATTTTGATTTATTGTTTCACCCAGATAAAACAGCAGTTTTCCCTGAAATCAATTATTTTTCGCTGGTCTAAAACAGTAGCCTACACAGGAAGCTGCTCTTGCAGCCAGTGGCAGCTACTGTTATAGAGCGGTGGAGAAGAATTGATTTCTGGCAAATAGAGTAACGTTAGCCATTGGCCAAAGTCACTAATAGGTGGACTGCAGTTCGCGTCCAGACCCAGGTGCTGTCCTATCCAGATCTGAACCTATAATTTTTTGAGAACTATTACATTTTGACAGAGCTTTTCCCTTCTAACGGCGTAGCTTTTCTAGCTTTTATGGCACTGGTCACATGATGCTACTCAGCCAATTATTGCGACTCGAGTCAGTGAGTGAGAAACACACACAGGGAGATGATATGAGAGACAGTCCAAGAAATAAGTCAGAGCGCCTCATCATATGACAGCTTGCAGAGACAGTTTCAAATTCTTTTTCCATATGTTGTCAAATATGAAAAGACCCACAATGATCACTGTAAGTGAACTACTTCATTA